ATAGGATGAAAGGGCTGTCCAGTGCTTCCAGGTTTTCCATGATGGTCTAGCTTTAACTGTCTCATGATCTTAACCATTGAAATTACTATCATATCCACAAAACCCATCTGATACCTTTTAATTCTCTTTTTCTTTTTCCTTTTTTTTTGATATCTTGTTACATTTTACAATATGTTACCCATCTTCATTATTACCTATAATAACTTATAAGGTACAAATATAAGAATGGGAAAAACTAAAACGTTCCGATTTTCCTTCTTTTAAAAAAAATATTTTAATAATTTTTAGATAAAAAAATAAACAAAAATATTTTGACAGATGATAAAAAAAAAGAAAAAAATATATATTTATCATTATGGTAACAATCTCATCGATTATGAATGGAAACAAACAAACAAAACAAAAAATAAAACCAATGATTGTCTGAAATTGAGTTCGAAGAATAGACTTTAATGCATCAGTCAATTGTTTATCATGGTAATATTCATATTAGATTCAATGATTTTATTAAAGCTTCCGGTTTAAAATAGATTAGGCCTGTTTTTGTTGTTGTTGTTGTTGTTTAATTTTAAGATAATAGTAACTATGACTGATATTGAAGGGTTGGTTACTAACTTTTTTTAAACATATATATAGCAACATTCCAATACTATTTTAATGATAATTTCTATAGTGTTGAAAAGTTTCAGTGTTTTATCACAACAATTGATGCAGATGTTAATTTCTCATTCAGTGGTTAGAGACATTATCACATATGGCTCAGAATAGAAGTCAGTGAAGATCTTGCTGTAACGTTTTTTTCTTTACTTTCTTCATAAAATGTGGTTATAACTTCTTTAACTGAAAGAATTCGTTCTAGTTGTACCTTTCCGTTTTCCCCCATTATTATTATTATTGTTACCATAAACTAATCTGTGGTCGTTATTGTTCTCTCACTCTTTTTTTTCTCATAAGCACCTTACATTCATTCTCTTTTCCCATTGTCACTGTTATTGTGTGGTGCAGATATATCTGGTACCCCCTTGTACCAATATTTATGTGTTCAAATAAATAAATAAGTAATTTCTCATCAAGCGTAAAATTGTATAAAGAAAACCTGAGATTAAGTTATTGCTGAATAATTCTCATCATATTATGAAACTTCTGATATATGTTTTTTTAAAGTTTTAAATTATTAATCCAAAATCTGGCACAGAATATTGACAAGTCTTCATTTTATTGTTGATGCATCCTTTTGTAACGATCATACCTGATAGAAACATTCAAGTGACCTAATGAAGTTCATCTTGCAATGTTGACTAGTGTCAGGGATCGTTGGTGACCAAATCAAAACGTCACATCAGTCCTTGAAAACACTAACTTGTAGTCTGAGCCATGTACGCAAATGCAGACTACTTGGTTAGAGTCCGCGTAACTATTGTAACCAATGGTTGGAGACTCTTGGTGACATGGCTCGAAATTAATCACAATGACGTTGGTGTATACACACTATATTCCCTTAAATCGCTTCGTATCTTTCTTGACTTAAAATTGTTTTATAGCCATAGATTCTCAGTTTTTCTTTAGAATGTTTCTTCTATGAGCAGAATAATTTAACCATGAAGTTCTCATTGTCTTTCTTGACAAGGTTATCAGTTTTGTAATCGAAGAAAGAAAACAAACAAACGAACATACGATGATAATCCACCTAGTCAAATACAATATTATTAAATCTAGTTAAACGTTTATCAATTTTCAGTCATTCTATTAAATTTCCTACTATGGTATGAATATTCGATAGCTTATAGTTAAAACAAAATAGAAAATAAATTGTTTAACTTTTGAACAACAGAACACAGTCAAACTGGATCAAATAATTATTAAGTATAAACAAATCTAAGCCTATTTGTTTTTGTCATAACGAGTTGTTTGATGTGATTTGTTTATTCTTATTGAAATACATTTTTTTCTAAACAGAAGTTCAATTTATCTACTTTTTTTGGTTGAGATCATGAACCGATTGATGTTAGATCATCGTCGGAAACCTGGAAGCTTTGGACGGCCGTTTCGTCCTATTGTGGGACTCCTCAGCAGTGCGTATCCACGATCCCGCTCGCGGGATTCAAACCCAGGGCCTTCAGTCTCGCATGCGAACGCTTAACCTACTGGACCACTGAGCCGGCATCCAATGGTGATAGTGTCTAACATCAACCAATCCACGAAATTGCGCGACCATCTTCCATTGTATTGAGGTAGACACTTGTTTCTACCCGACATGGATTAGCTCCACTTTTCACGGCTTCTCAACAGAACTCTGAGAATTTTCTCACGAAGCTAGTCATTAGGGAGTACATGGTAATTACCAGTTTAGGCCTTGTGGAGATCATGAACCAACTGATGTTAGACCACCATTGAAAACCTGGAAGTACTGGACGGCCGTTTATAGACTATAATAAATCGATTATTTATATCAATATAAACAGTTCGATCATATTTTTAATAGGGGGCTGTGTATATTGTTACATTTTATTGAAATCATGAATCGATATAAAAGTTAGATCATCATTAAAATCCTGAAAGCACTTGGTGGCCGTTTAGTCGTAGTATAGCGCTCCTCAGCAGTGAATATATACTATCAGTGATGTGGGACTCGAACCTGAGACCTTCGACTTCATGCGATCGCTTAACCTCTAGACTAGTGAGACGCTACTCAGTGGTTTTAATGTTCGTAGGACGTTCGGACTGCAGTGTCGTTGTATTTGTGAATTGCTATGAAAGAGTAATTGAAGATTGGTAGGATTGTAATAAGACACGTATCATCCGGCTTCGCAGTCTGAAAGGTCATTATCAAGTCAATCGAGCCACAATTGACTTCCAGTAGGACTAATGTCATGTTCATTTAGGCCATAGTACTGTTCGGATCTTATAGACCAATTTATAAGGGGGTCACCAGTTTAAATGATGTGACATTACAGTCATTTACCTTTTTGTTATTGACTCATTCGGGATGGAGTGAATAAACGCTTTAAAGATTACTACATCAGGTTCTATTCAAATAATCACTGATGCAATCCGTTTTTTAAGTACCTTAATTTAGAAAGCTAAGTAATGTCACTAGAACTCATACAAAATACTTGCCTTAGAACTGAGTAAACTGTCTTTCTAGAGATCACTGGATTAAGACAAAATGATAGTAACTTATTCATCTAGATTTCTTTGTTAACTAATGGATTCTAGCACTACATGCAGTAATCCTAAACTCTTTTATCACTTATAACAGAGGACGGTTTCAATAATAGTCACAATGAAAAAATGTTTCAGTTATAAACCTCACATTATGTAGGTCCTTGGCATATCTTTGATATCGAATTAAACGGGTATTCAGCTTAGACAAATAAATCATCTCCCAGAGTCTACTTGGGACATAACGTATATGTTTGAGGTAATACATATTATTAAAGTTAAAGTACATTTCAGCGTTGCATATTTATCCCACTTAAAATACATGTCAACTAATCTGTGGATTCAGACTCCTCCAAGCAGTTGTTATATAATGAAATCCTTCCAATCACTTCATATAAGCTGTAAAATTATACTAGGCTGCCAAGCTTCAATGATACTAAAATTGTCCGAATAGAGTTTTCATAATACTTTTTCAATTATTCCACAACTGGTTATCGAGATCAAACAAAACTTTAGGAAAGATAGAAAGAATACGTTTTATGAAATGAATATGCAGCTAAAGTAATAGGCGCTTCATGGAAAGTTACCTTTACACCATAATATAACAATGTGTGGTATAACAAATTTTCTTTTATTATTATTAAGCTGTTTAACAACTATCAACTGAAAAATGATTTCTAAACTACTAACAACACCAAATGAATTAACTGAAACAATTTTTAAATTTAAGACGAAAAGTTTAAATATATTCATTTTGTCTTCATTAGCTGGAATATATCACCTTTTATTATCAAGCTGTGCAATCGTATGTATATGGTTAAGCACTCGCTCTCGAGACTGATAAGTCCTGGGTTCGACTCTTGGGGGCGGGTTTATGGATATGCACTGCTGAGCAGTCTCATAATAGGACGAAATGGTCGTCCAGTTCTTCCAGGTTCTCCATGGTGGTCTAGTTTCAATTGACTTGTGATCTTAACTATTGGAATTTTTTTTGTTAAAGTACTAATTCTGTGAGGAAATGTGGACACAAATAATCAAGATGACGTAACAGAAAGATTATAATACTAGATTACGTGATACGAATAATAACAATAGATTCAGTGAATGTAATAAGATGATTAAAATGTTTTTGTTACAATAATTAAAGGTCGTAGATGTGTGAAAATAAGTCAAGGGATATGATGAGCATTTGAATAAAATAATGAGAATATAAGACAAGCAAAGGGGGATAAAGTAATGATAATAATATTAAGGCCAAGGTAACGGTAACATTAGGACGTACTTCTTTTTTACCCATAGTTCTAGTTTGAGCTCATGGATGGTAAGAGCCTCGGCTAATTTTAGAAGTTGAATACGAAGAAGGCTAGGTAAATTTGACCGTATCATATATTATTTACTTACGCCTGTTACTCCCGATGGAGCGTAGGCCACCGACCAGCATTCTCCAACACACTCTGTCCTGGGCCTTCTTTTCTAGTTCCATCCAATTCTTGTTCATTTTTCTCATGTCTATCTCCATTTCTCAAAGTAATGTGTTCTTAGGTCTTCCTCTTTTCCTTTGGCCTTGAGGATTCCATGTGAGGGCTTGGCTTGTGACGCAGTTGGGTACTTTCCTCAATGTGTGTCCTATCGACTCCCGGCGCTTCTTCTCGATTTCTTCCTCCGAATCATATATACAACCTTAAAATTAAGCTGTGTATCCGTAGAATGCTTACAATCGATTAGATGTTCAAGTATAGAACTCGTAATAACTTTGCTCTCACTCTTGTAGAACTAAACTGAGAAAAGAGACTCCTTTACTGAACTTTTTATTTTTTTTATTTTTAATGTTTAAATAGGAATTATCATCTTGTCAATTCATCATCTTATTACATTATCAATACATCAATATTTCAAAAAAGACTTTTTTTGTCACTCATTTTCTTTTTCCAGTTACTATCCATAATAATTCAAATTTCTAATGACGTCTAATCAGTTACTATCCAAAATAATATTATTCATATTGATATTATTAATGATTATTCAATTAACTAATTCAATTACAATCAATATCAATGATACCAATACTAATTATTCTATTGATAATTCAATCAATAATAATAAATCAATATCCGATCAAATGTTATTAGAAATTTATACAACATGGATTGATTTTGCTAAACATTTTGTTCCTACAGCATTATTTGTTGATCGTTATGTAACAATCATTTATTATATATTAGGTTTTCCAGGTAATTTTATCTCATTAATTATATGGTCTAATAAAAAAATGATCAAAGAGAATTCTGCTGCTGTTTATTTAGCTGCATTATCATTAAATGATATAATTGTATTAATATTTGCATTAAATAGAGATTTATCACGTGTATGGCAAATACGTGAATATTTATTACCTGGTTCATGTGAAATACAAAATATTTTATCACCAGCTGTACAATATGCATCACCATTATTTGTACTTGCTTTTACTATTGAACGTTGGTTAGCTATATGTAAACCATTTTATATTGATAGAATATGTAGTTCAAAAAGAGCAATTTATATATGTATCATTATTATCATTAGTACAATCATAGTATGTTCTGGTTATGCATATATATTTATAACAGAAACAAATACATGTAGTAAACGACATATTAATCCATTAATTATAAGTGTATATTTATCATGTTTAGAAGGTGTATTTGCTGGTGTTGTACCATTATTAGTATTAATATTTAATTGTTTAGTCATTAAAGAATTAGCTAAAGTTCATCATGCTAATAAACAATTAGCTATTATGTCAAATCATTTATCATCATCATCATATTGTTCAACATCTCAATCAAATATAATAAATAATAAAAATTCACCAAAACTTTCATATACTACTACTACTACTACTACTACTACTACTCATAATAATAATAATAATAATAATAATAATCACCATGGGAATAAAATTAAATTATATTTTAAAAATATTTTCACTAAGCAACTATCATCAAATTCAATAAAATCAAATAAAAAAATTAATAAAACTTCATTAATATCAAATGAAAATTCATTAAATTTTATTCCACAATATAATTCAATCAGTCACAATAAATCAATAATCAATGAAAAATCAATAATTTCTAATCGTAATAATAATAATGAATTAATTCATATAAATTATAATGATTCATATAAAGTTTCACATAATAAACGTACTAGTCCAAGTTTTAAATCAACAACATTAATGCTTTTAACTGTTAGTTTTTATACAATTTTAACAACATTACTTGGTGGTCTTGTTTATTTAATACATCAAACACAAGAAGAGCCTAATATGAATGCAACAGAAAAAGAAGTAAGTTATTGAATATTTATTTATTTTAACACATACATAATGGTACAAAGAGGCACCAAATACAGATGCTCCACACAAATCTCATCCGATATGTGTGAGGGCTGTGATACTGCCTGTGTGCCCAAACCGAAGTAGGTGGTTTTCTTAGGGGACCACTCCCTGAACCTTCGACCCGAAGGTCTGATCCACAAGGCAGTGGAGCATCATGAGAAGATGCAGTCCTATGGTATCCGGTGACCAACGATTGGTTCATACGTCATTTGTTCCAGCAGTATAATGGAGCCCATGTGCATCATTGGTTTAGAATCAAGGTTTTCCAACTCCTAGGTGGACTCTCCATGTCCACTAACCCGTTTAAAGCACCGGACATTCGCTTTCCGTCCTCTCATTTTCGTAAACAACACCCCCGACACGAGAATGCAGTGAGTAGGACTTCTCTGGCAGAGGCCATATACGCGTGGCCATGTGAGAGCATTTCGAGAGAGAGAGCGGACTCTCACCACTCTCAGCCATACCAGAGCATTTGGGAGCATAAGTGTAGTGTCAGGAGTGGGATTCGAAACCACACCCACTGGGCGGACTGCAACCTGAACGCAGCGTCTTGGACCGCTCGGCCATCCTGAATAATTATCATTAATATTTTTGTTTTATAAAATTCCTTTTTATCATTTTGAAACGAGTGAGAACAAAGATTATAGCAAAATAACATGAATTCATTTTTATTTCATAGGTTATTGTCTTGGTGACAAATACTTTTTCATTGCATCTTTAATTTTTTTTATTTTTTTTAATCTTCTTCTCGCATGTATTACATTAGTGAGTTTGATTTCAACTATCTTCCAAATTAATAATCTTATTTTATTAACTGAGCTCTATTCACTATATTGCTATGAATATTTATTCATTATGCAATTTCGTGGATTGGTTGAAGTTAGACATTAACACCGTTGAATGCCGGCTGGCTCAGTGGCGTAAAGGTTAAGCGCAGGCACGCGAGACTGATAGGTCCTGAGTTCGAATCTCGCGATGCGGGATCGTGGATGTGCGCTATTGAGGAGTCCCACAATAGGGTGACACGGCCGTTTAGTGCATCCAGGTTTTCCATGATTGTTTAGTTCCAACTGATTAATGATTTCAATTATAGAAATTTCTGAAATCTTCACAAAACCTTTTCACATTATTTAATCACTTGTTTCTAGCTGTTTAAACCGTTGTCACAATCAATGTTGTAGAATGGTTTTTCATAAAAGGTATATATTTACAATATTCAGTCTATTAATTCTATTAACACCCTTGCAAGACATAATTTCCAACCAAACTCTTTCATGTAAGTAATTTAAATCTATTATGTAATTATAATTTTAAATATTACAGGCCGTAAGCAGTTGACAAGAGCTTACGAAATTAATAATTTTTGTTTTAGTTATTTTAAGTTTTTGTTTTGTCTAATCAATTATAAGAAATGATTGGTAAAAATGTTATTTCATCATGTAGAAATGAATATATGTATAGTGTTTTTATAGCGAGTTAGTTTCCTACAGGATGGGGTCATTAACCTCATGCCCAAACCTCCACCTTTATCTGGGCTTGGGACCGGCAGTAGCCCCAGGCGTGCTCCAGGTGGAGTTGTATATATATATATACATATTTAATAATTGGATACATGAGTCACTTAAATCTAGACAACAATGGAAAACCTTGAAGCACTGGACGGCGGTTTCATCCTGTTGTAGGTCTTCGCGGCAGAGCACATACACGATCCTGCTTCGCGAGATTTAAATCCAGGACTTATCAGTCTCACGCGCGGACGCTTAACCTTTAGACCACTGAGCCGGAATCCAACAGTGTTAATGTCTGACTTCAACCAATCCACAAAGTTAGGCCGATTGGCGTCACAAAACCCCTCTTTGATTACATATTTATAACATAGACAGACAGGAAGAACAACAAATAAATTTTGAAATCTGTCTTAAAGACAACTCTTATTCTTAAAAATGTATTCATAAGTGGGAAAATGATTAAAGCAAACTGTTATGTTCTTAATTTATACGATTCTGTGAATTTGATTTGCCAAATTTAGATACGCAGACTTATATGACCAACTAATGATGGATACAACTGAACTAATAATCTGGAGCTTCTATTGGTCCTTTTCATTGCCTGTTAAATCCAGAACGCAAATCTCAGAATACGTGATATGAATCATATATTTCAAATATACTGGGTTTATATATAAACCAAACAGATCACATGGTAACATAAAAAATAACATTTGCGCAAGATCACAACAAAAAGTGGCTATGATTGTGGGAGACTGTAATTAATAAACTAGGCATAACTTAAGAAAAGTAAATTATAAAATAATAAGATGGATATGAATACAGATAGTTTGGTTATTAAACAATTATACAATAAAAACTTATGTATAGTATTAGTCCATAAATAAATCCCGAAAGTTACCATTCATTATTCTCGTCGGGATATAACACAATTTATTTGTGGTATTGTCGGTTAAAAGATATATTTTTATTCATCATAACTTTAAAAGTGTAGATTTTGAAGAAAGAAACGGTAGAAGGTTTAACACTTATGTAGTCAGAGCTTAACCTGAAACCAAACTATTAAGCCTATATCAGAAATATTCTATAATTCAGTTAAATACTGGACAGGTAACCGTTTTCTTATAACTATCGCCGAGACTCTAATTTATGGACGACATTTGAATGAATCTTAAAGTGGCCTTGATAAATATTAGCCAATCATAAAACAGCTAGTATAAAGTAAAAATCTATTATAAAAAAACTAAAGAATTAAAGTGAATATACTTCTTTAACATGGTTCAAAAACTTAATAAGGTTTGAATGGGGTTCAGAGGTTCTGGAATCCTAGTGCTTCTGACCCTTTGAAGTGTCCCTTTTGGGTTGATCTGTCGTAAATTCCAAGTACCTGTGAGGTATATTTATGGAAGTGTTATTTACCCAGTCTTCCTTAATACTACTTCCTTTGTTAAATTTTCGCTTCCGGATTACTGATTCGTCTATTTCAACGATCTTCCCAACTCCTCCAAATGACTCGTGTAAACTTGTCATTTTCACAGCAACAATTATCATGATTTGTCTTAGTCTCAATCGGCATGGAGCAGACTTCTTCCTCCAACATTAATAACATCAAAAGACAATCTCATCACGGTAGTCTGAACAAGGTACTGCGGTCATTTGATTACCGCAGTCACAAATAAAGGAACTTCTTAGTGGTCCCATCTGTTATAAGCGCTCAAAAATCACGTCTTCTTTAAAGTCCTCTGTAATCCGATCGTACGTGAGCATCAGGTATTGAAATTGGAGTCGCGATCTTGAAATCCCTCAAACACTTCTGATTGGCTGGTCCATAAATTCGAGTCTCGTCATTTACCATCAAGAGGAAGAAATAATTTGAATAAAGCAATCACTAGATATGTCCTGAACTCCAGATATCGGGTTGAGACCTTGGAATCTTACAAATTAATCGATGAACAAACAGCCTCCAATCTTCTGACGTTTACTGTTGTGATCAGATGTCAAAGAACTGATTTAATATTAATTTTCATTTCATTTAGCAACTTTAATTTCTTAACCAACTAAGCTTTACTAATTCTATTCTTACTTATTGCTAGGTTTTTCTTATTGAGCAATCTACTGAATTCTAACTCTTCGATTTCATTTTTGTAATGCCAATATTGTTGAATATTGTTTGTTTTTTGCATGTTATGTACATTTGAAATTCTATTTAGTTGCTTAAATTTATCTAAATCTTTGTTACACTATGCGGAATTCAACAAAAGACATTGATCGAAGTATTTTCAAATCATTTTGTATTAATGATTTTTAAATACGACAGGTTGGAAACAACTGATAAGAATCTAACGTAATAAGATCAGCTCACACCTTTGTTCACGTTATCTTTAGAATGATGAAAGTAAATACATATAAAACGTTTCTCACTAAGTTGATTGAAATATCATAAATTTTGGTATCACAATTAGACACACAATTAGACAATGTTTTAGTACAGATAATGAAAAGTGAGTTTCAGCTTTTAGTGAACTCCACTATTAATGAGTAAAATATAAATCAATAAAAATCATCTCATCAACCGTAAAATTATTGCCATGTATTAGGAAGGGCGTCTCAGAGTCACTTAGTTACTCGCTTACACCTGTACACTTGGTGGGTGAGCATAGGCTGCCAACCAGGACTCTCCATTGAACAGTGTCTTCCTCTATTCTTTCCATTTCCTATTTATTCTTTTGATATGTACCTCCGATTCCCCACACAATGTATTCTTTGGTCTTTCTCTTCATTATCCAGTAAACAACCAGAAGAAAGAGAAGTCCGTATGATATTGACAGTCTTCTCAGCTACTCAAACCATAGTGTCCAAGGATGTTCCATAATGTTCACTTATCCACACTGTCAAACGCCTTCTCATAGACAAGGAAGTTGATATATAGTGAGGAGTTCCATCCAACAGATTGTTCAACGATAATCCGTGCATGACCGATCCTCAAGGAATCCGGTCTTCTAATCTCAAAGTTGGGTGTGTACTGCGTCTTTCGTCCGGCTCAACAACACTCTGTTGAAAACTTTCCGTGCTACTGACAGTGTGATGCCTCTGCAGTTCTCACATTTGCTCAGATCTCCTTTCTTTGGTATCTTGATCAGGTCTCCGTTTTTCCAGTCTGTCAGTGACACTTGTTTTTCTTCACAAATATTTCTGAACAGAGCGTGAAGCATGCTTGCAGTTACTTCTATGTTTAACAATAATGCTTCGGCTTGTATATTGTCAGGTCCTACTGCTTTCGCACTTTTGATTCATCTCACGACAATGCTGGATTCTTCGATCTTTCCTGAGGTAACATCTTTGGGACATCTATAGGAGGGTCAGTATGTGCTCAGTGATGTTGGTCTATTTGAAAGCACTCAAAGGCGTTCTTCTCTCTAGTTCAACACTTCCTAAATCCCAGTAATGGTCTTGCCTTCTTTATTTTAGACCAGTCTACCTAGGTTACAATATATAGTTGTCATTTAGTTGTCTCATATTTCATTCTGTTGTAGCTTTTTACGCTGTCGTTGATAGCTCTTCCACGTATTTCTGCTTGTCGGCTCTAATACTCATCTTCAGTTGCTTGTTTGCTTCAGTGTATTCAGCTTATATCTTGACCTGATCTGTTTTGTTCGACTGTTGTTAATTGCTGTCGTCTTGTTCTTCCTTTCTTGAATCCTGTACAGGGTTTCGATAAGGGTACATTCCTTATGATACTAGTTGCGGTACAGCACCTCCTGACAAGCTGGAATTATTGCTTCTTTGATCCGTTTCCAGTTGCCCTCCATAGCAGTTTCGTCTTCTTTCAATAAATCATGTAAGGCTTGGAACCTGTTGTTGAAAGTTGTCTTGAATTCGTTGAGTTTGTCAATATGTCGAGGGAAGGCTATATTGAACCTTTGTAATCCTGTTTGCTCAGTGCTTCCTTAGCTTCAGTTTGATCTTGGCAACCACCAGGTAGATTGTGATCATAATCTATATCAGCTTCTTCCCTATTTCTCACGTCTGCCAGTGACCTTGCGAATTCTTTTATGATGCAAATGTGATCTATGTGATTCTCTGTAATGTGATCTAGTGCGGTCTATGTAGCTTTGTGTACGCATTTGTGTGGGAGTATTGCGCCGCAGATGACCGTTTTGTCGGATGCACATCAATTCGCAAATCTGTCACCATTCTAGTTGATTTCTCCCATCCGTTCCATGTCATCTCATGATATCTTCACAACCACTGTTTTCCATTTCGACTTTGCCGTTTAAACCTCCCATCAGGATTATCAGGTCTTTTCATGGGCAGTTTTCTACGAACGATCACAGACTCTCATAAAAATATTTCTTATGTCCTCTTTTGCTATCTATGATAGTAGCATAATACCGAATAACATTCATTGTGACAACCTCTTTCCTTGTTTTGACGCATGCTTTGATGATTTTGAGTTCATGAGGTTCCCATCCTACAAGTGCTTTACATGCTTCTTTGGGCAGCATCAGCAAGTCGTTTTGTGGGTGTTCCAAATATTCTTTTCTTCGTTACTAGAGTATAGCGGCATCTCTCACGAGTCTAATCTTTTCTGTCTTACTTGATTCTAATGGATTTCACTTATTACAAGCACTACCAGGTTGTACCTTCTCATTTCCGTAACTATTTGACTGGTCTTTCAGGTCTCCTACGTTGTTCGGACATTCCATTTACCTATATTAATTGTTGCTCTGGTTGTGAGAAGAGGCATCGACCTCGTGAGTTCATAAAAAATCTTACTTACTGTTAGTTTATTAGACAAAATGTCTCATTCATTACAATTTATTGAATGTTTTAAAATATTTCAACCCTAACTTGGTAAACGACGATGTTGTAAACAACAATGATAGTTTTGAGGAAAGAACATTTAGCTTAAAGAGTGCATTAATCTTTAAAGTATTTTAAGTAGTAATGTCATCTGTAAAATTTTGAGTTAACTGCTAAGTTCGTCACTGAACATGCCTGAGGTCGAATTTAACGGTAGTCACATCTGTTGTTTGCTAAAGAGAAATTAAATGTAACTTTCGTTGCGAAGTATATAATTATGATATTATAAAACGCTTGTAACTTCTCTTTTACTGATGATAATGACTCAAATCAATGAAGTACTTTAATCGGTTCTGTAAATGACAAGTCTTGGGAGTATCTAAGTCCTTGGCAGATTACTTCAATGTTGCCACTTATTTACAGATCATCCTAATCAGAGTTTGATAATTGCTAGCAGTGGAATCCAGGATACGGGTTTCATCCAGTTTGTGACTAATCAACTAGATTTACCTAAATTTATATTAATATCCACACTGAAACTAAACACTACCCAACTCTTCTTAATAAGGCTTGTACCTTAATTGGACACAATTAGATTTTCCAGCTTGAAATTGCAACAGTTATTGATTATTGTAGTCACCCAAATCTTAGGGTATGTCTTTTTTTGTATTTTTTCCCCTTGAAAGTACTAAATCACTAACAAAAGTATTGATTTTTAATATTATTCAACTGATGTGTTCTGTTGACATAGAAACGTTTAGACTGTAATCACAAAATTATAAAAAATAGATTATAGTGAATTCATTCATCATTGATATATTAATTGCCAATTTGAATGTGTCAATATAAATTATACTTTACACTAAAATAACTACAAAATACAATTTTCATTGTTTCTATTTTGTTTTAATTAGGCTTTAGAAGATCCTATTTGGAATCAATATTTCAAAATGATTACAATTAAAGCATTTGGTGATGAGATTGCATTATCACATTATGCATTTAGTTTTATCATTTATTATGCAACTGGATGTAATTTTCGTCAACGTGTACATCAATTATGCAAAAATGTATTTTATAAATTAGGTTGTCGTTGTCATAAATTAATGAAACTTGGTATAAATGAAGAAAGTGATAATAATAATATACCATCAATTACACGTCGTTCACATAATCGTTTATTAACTAATCATGATAGACAAGATGATCTGGATTTTACAATTCATACATCATCACAATATCGTCAATCAAAAAAATTGATTGATTATCAAAAATCAATTGAAATGGATCAATCTATAGAATCAAAGTAATACAAATTTATTTAAATCATTTAGTATATTATCAAAAAGTAGATTTCAATGAATAAATCAATATCTTCAAGAGATAATGCCATGAAGAATATAAAAAGTGTTGAATATCTTGAATGTTTATGTTGTTGTAATTCCTTGATATTATACATCGAATATACTTGAAAAATAATTAGAATTCAAAGAGTAAACAAACAAACATCACAAAAAAACGTCTACAAGAAAGTTCAAGACAAAAACAAACACTGTCAAACACAATACAAACCATAAAACAATATCATAGGCTGTTATTGAATGTAATCAAATTGTTTACTATAATTAACGCAATATTAAAATACCATAGAAATGATTATTTTTTAAAAGAAAAAAAAATGTTTTTTTCGTTGGTTGAACCCAAATTTCCTTCGATATTTTCTTTTTCTTCTTTTTCTGTTGGATACAAGATTAAAGCATTTTGAATTCTGGTACTAGTGTTTCTTTGCTCCTTGATTTCATTGACTGACAGTTGATATATATGTAATCGGTTAAGATTAAAATGATCCATTAGCAATGAAACATTTAAACCAATTAGTCCTTTTTTGATAAATTTCGATAATGTAATAAAAAGATAAAAATGATCCGAACAATGTGACGGTATATTAACCCAGTCACATAGTTCTGATAATCTACATATTCTTATTACATGATCAAAATGAAACATTGATTTCATTTCATTTTGATACATTTATTAAGTGCATTATATGTTCATGGTTTCATTCATGATTATTTCTGAAATGTCTTTGTATATATGAACGTGTGTAAAACAAAATCACTACCACCACCACCACCACCAACAACAACAACAACAAGGTATTAATAATAATAGCCATAGCAACTATTATTATTATGACTATTTGCATATATCTTGTCATTTATTAATGTATTTCTTATTTATTTTCTTTAATTAAATAATTAAATTTTGTGTTCATTCAATAGGTTTCAAATGTGAATAGTTTCATTGAATTCTATCCAACATTTTTAATATTGATACTTCAATTGCATATCTTCTTTGTCGTTGTATATTATCCTCTTAAAAAAAAGATAAGAATTGATAAAATAAAATATGCATAAGATGAATATATCACAGATGGTAATAAATGACATAATGATTAAACATTTTAATGCATAAGGTTTATTGTGTATAATATTGATATATCTACCAATATTCTGGTTAGTATGAAAGTACTTTATAAAGTTATTATTAGTTGAATGGTTCTTGAGACCTATGATGGAGATTTTAGAGACCGTTAAATGATTCGAAGAATTTCTATCCAATCAAAATCAAATTCAGTGAATTATACTCTTGTATTAAAGATTATTTTCTTTGAATCAGATTTGTGTAAATCAATTTGAGAGAAGAGTTAAAATCTTCCCTCACCTTTTTTTCTCCAGATATTTATGAATTACTTCAAATTGTTCAAGCCTAATCATTCATTCACTATAAATCGTCAACAAAAATTATTATTTTCAACTATTTTTCTTTTTAAGCAAAGATGAATAGTAGCTAGCAGTGGAATCCATGACGTGCGTTTCGCCCTATTTCGGACTTGTCAGCTGGATATACCTGCGTTTTAGAGTTGATATTTAATCTGGGACTCGAAAAAAGTACCGTTCGCTTCAAACGCCATCAGGTTATCCATCTAGCTCCTGAGTGCCGATAGCTACCTGTTTGTGCAATGGGGTGAAGTTTAAATTCACTTGGTGTTGTTTTACTTTTACTTGTTTACTCATAATTGAAAAATATAAAAGAGATTGAAATCAGTGTAGTGAAATTTTCAAGTAATAGCCATAGTAATACTTTTAAACAATGAGCCTAAAAAACCTAGAATGATTTATGTTAAATGCAGTCAAATCAAAATGGAATATGTGCAGAATATAATGATAAACGATATATGAATGTGATTTGTTTAATGAAGGTAATAATAATAAATGATTAGTTTCTGTGTTATATAATTTGATTTCATATCATTTCTAGTTTGTTCGATAGGAAAATTATTGAGATAGGTGCGAGACTATAGTTTTTGAATGAATCAATCAGGTATAAGAGAACAGGTTTCGGATATTATCGGGAAATTCACTCATTGATTTGGCGAAATGGAGTTTTAGCATTATAGTTTATGTTAGTTCGTGATGAAAACCCTAAATTTAATTCCTAATCTTAACTATCAACTGCAAATCGTAATTCTAAGTCCTCATACAGGTATATAATACTCATTTGATCCTATCATCGTCAGTCCAGCGTCGCTCAAAGGTCGTCCATAAATTATAGTCTCACCGTAATATGTTAGAAATTACTAGTGAATATATAAAAAAGACACGAGTTTGTAAATTGAAGTAGCAAGATTTTACACCTGTCTACATGATCTATTTGTCTACCAATGTGACATATGATATTTATACAGTGCTGTTGTCTTCCTAAAGAAGACAAGTTAAATATTAGGGTCTCTTCCTTTGATTATTAAAGCTGGTAATCCCTGTATGAGAATAACATTATGCTTCGAGGAACGATTTCGAGGGAGAGGTTTTTTTCTATAATCACTCTTCAGTTGTTTTATACCATTGCTATACTGCTGATAACATATTATGCTTTATTAAATGTACTCTAATGACATATATTTCGTTAGATGAGATTGTAGGTAAATTACCAACCAGAAAATTCTTGGAAAATATTGCTCACGCTCTAATTAGATCACATTGTTACCTACGTACTTATTTACGCATCATCGATGAGCATGCGTCACCCACAAGCATTCTTCACCCAACTATATCCTGCGCAATTCTTTCCAGTCGCTATTGATTTTTTTCATGTCTGTTTCCAAACCTCGGCGCGGTATGTACTTTGACCTTCCACTTTATTGATTCCCTTCAGGATTCCAAGTTAGCACGTACTTCGTCATGCAGTTTGATGATTTGCGTAATGTATGTTCTATCCATTTCCAATATCTTTTCCTAATTTCTTCCTCATCTGGAAGCTGATTTCCTCTCCTCCACAATAGGCTGTTGCTGATGGTATCCGGTAAATGTATATTGGGTATCTTGTGAAGAAAGCCACTTATAAATACTTGTACCTTCTTGATGATTGTTGTTTCAGTTCTCCAAGTTTCAGTTCCGTCCAGAAGAACTAACTGTCTTGACATTCGTATTGAAGATTCTCACTTTGATATTGATTGTCAGTTAGATTATACTATTGGACAGAAAATATTTTTTTCTATTAAAGTATTGGTGAAGTGTTCTTACAATTATTCTGTAATTCTTTTGATGAATTAAGTTATCAAAAAAAAAACAATCGGAAGCTAAGAAATATTTATGTTGTATTTATTTTTAACTGAAGCTTCAACACTTAGGACAAAACATTTTTAAATTAAGAAACTTTAGTAACAAAACTTTTTCGATGGCCTTTGTTAAATTAAATCCTGTCCAAATGTCAACTTAAAAAGTCCGTCAGTCAGTAACAACGTAGAACTTCGTACGTACGTACATCAGTTCGAGTTGCCACACCACATTAGCACAGAGATGCAGTTGTCGATTCAAATCCCGTTGTGGTAGAGATAGTAAACGTATAAGTAATAATCGGAAAGACTAGGGTTTGATGATGTTATTGAAGGAGTATAATCCAGTGAAACAAATTTGAAAAGGGGAAAAAGAGACAAGGGAGATTCAAGAGGTTAGAATTTGGGAGAACACAAAAAGTAAATGCACCTGCGCCATTGCAAATAACTTTGAGCCACGTCATTCAGGGTCTCTAACCATCGGTTGCTATCATCTCGTGGTCCCCAACCAGGTAGTCTACACTTACCAACATGACTCAGTCTACTTGTCAGTGACTTCATGGACTTGTGCCATGTTTTGGTTTGGCCGCCCCTAGCTTTCTTCCAACCTACTCCTACACCACTGAGCATATCACATCGAGGCAGTCGATGGTTGGGCATACGTAACAAGTGTCTCAGCCACCTCAACTAATGGATTTTCACTACTTCATCAATTGATTTGCCATCCTTACCTAGTACCCGTTTCCTAACAACTGAGTTACTTATTCGATAGTCCCAGGATATATGAGCAATGTTTCGAAGACACCTATGATCAAATACTAGCAACCTACGAATATCCTATACTCTTACCGGCCATGTTTCACTGCCATAAAGAAGGACGGAACGAATTGCTGTGCAGTAAACACGTCCTTTGGTTGATAGACGGATATCTCGCCTACGCCATAAATGACGCAAGTTGGTGAAAGCTAGTCGAGCCTTCTGTATCCGTGCTGAGATTTCGTCACAAACCAGACCACGAGGGCTGATGAGACTTCCAAGATAAGTGAAGCGGTCGACACACTCAACTACTTCACTCCCTATTATTAGTTCGGGTGTCGATGCAACCCAATCCTGAAGCAACATTTTGCATTTCGACGGAGAGAATCGCATCCTGAACATGCTTGCATTGTTGCTTAGAGTACATAGCTAGTTAAAACAAATTAGTTTATTACACTTTTCACATATGTATTTGGTATAAATGAATATGAAAATACAATCTATGTGACTAATTCAATCGACTACTATTCGATATTTAAGAAGAAAACAGGCAGTTCGGTGGAAAAAAAGATCTTTTCAGCGATATCATTTAATTAAACTATACAATAGTATTTATAGTTAGTTCCTTGGTAAGATAGAAAGGCGCTAATTTAAAAAAAAATCCTTAAAGTTGTATGTTGTCAAGAGATGAATATCAGTTGCTGAAAGGAAGCTATGCAACAATTGGTTAGTTGACAAGTGCTTAGATGAAAATAACTGTTTACTTGATGGCTTTAAACAACAGAACAATTTGAGACTTAATAATTTGGAATCTAAATTATAATATTATACCCTGAATTGTATAGTGGATCAAAAATAAATAAAAGCTGTCTAGAAACTGTGAATAATATCGATGACAAAGCGATTATAATAAAGTTTCTTCATATCATCGCAATTCAT